CATACCCAAGTCCATATAGTTCCATTAATACTAGTAATTGTTTAATTTACTTGAAATAATTAATTTTCACGTTGTCTTTACATTATAAGACAATAATAATCAGTCTTACACACTTCCCACTGTATAAATGACCAGATTTATGTTTAATTCATAGTCAATATATAGCATTTATACACTATCTTAACTATAAAGTATTATTTTTTAAGATTATTAATTTTTAAATTTATTTATTAATAATGTGATAATATTTAATTCACCGATGGTGTATTGTGTATTTAATATAAATCATTAATATATATACAACTAGTTTTGTTGCTTAAATAATACAAGCACTCACATTGATTAGTACATTTTACCAAAGTCAAAGTTCAAAAACAAACACCTTGTTGCTATAATGAAAACTAAACATGAATAGCAAAATACACATATTGGAAAGAAAACATCATAGGTTATCTCTTCACACACCAATACTAATATAGTACAATAATAATTAGAACATAAAAATACAATAGATTGTAATATTTTCTTAATCCCGTTTGCTTCTAATTTGATTATTGTGGTTGAAATCATAGGTTAATACCAAACTTCCATCCATTCTTTTCAATATAAAGCTCTCAACCAATACATAACAACCAAACTTTTTCCACCCAACAATCCCTGCATATTCTTCTCTTCTTGTCACCCTTGGTTTCTCTTCATTGCCACTAATCCACCTAAATCTTTCTTCCTCCCATTTCATTATCTCAAGAATTGCTAAACACAACCCCACAGTGACTTCTCCTCTTACATCACCAAAGCTCTTAAACCACATTACTTGGTCAACCACATTCCTCTCGTGCACCTCTCTTCCAGCAATTGAAACTAGTTATTTGTGAACACTAACATCCACAGCCACAGCATTGCCTTTGTTACCTTGACTTTTGCATTCGAAAATCTGTTTCCATTTTTGCTCAAGTGTAATCTCAAAATACATTGATGTGCGCATCTGATCTTTAACTCTACCTTCCTTGATAAACAGGAAAGGAGAATACCATTTTCCTACAACCACAAATGAAGAACTCTTACAGGATAATGGAAAGCTGAATTCTATGTGGCATCAAGGCCTGGTGCTTCACTCAATTGGGCAATTATAGATAATGAGGTAAAGACTTGCAATCCTCTTATCCTCAAGAGATTTGGAGGAAACCCGTCTTGAGTTACGGATTTGACATTAAAAGAACCCTGTTTGTGAGGATGAAGCTCAAATTGTTGATATATGTTTTGGGGATTCAAAGGTTGAGGATCGACATCATGGATACAGTTGCAACAACAAATAGTGGTCACGTCCTCTTCTTTTGAACTCGCGAGTGCTTTCCTGCAAGCCAGTTTGAATGCATATGTAGATGTAATCAATCTAAGCATGATCGACTCCTAAAATACTAGACACATGCTGGCCTTACAATAAACGAACTTACCAAATATATAAATATAGTCAAACAGAAATGAAGATAATCTTAAAATAGAAACATTGCATACCCTTTACGCCACCCACGTGTAGTATTGCATAGTACCAATTGGATGATAATGGCTTATTGAGAACAGGAATGAATAAACAGGATAGTAATCATATTTCCTGGAGTTGGCAGAGCCATCACCCCCTCTGTAATATACTCTATACTGGAGCAACAGTTACTTGTTTTGAGGGAAAGGCAGCTCCTTGACATTGTAGGCTTTCAATTTGAACAATCCGAAGCAGTAGCTCACTATTACCTCAGGTTCTTCATCTTGGATTACCACAACACCAAAATTTGGACCTTCAGGAGGAGGCGAAAACAGCTCTGAAGCAAACTTTTTATACATTGAGAGAGGCCTTGTCACATACATTTTCGTTGTACAGCTTAAATTTCCTTGGTTTTCTTCAAGACTGTGAAACCTCATTTACTTTTTTTTGGAAAGGGGGGGGAACCAACAGCTTCCTCAATATAATTAATAAGTATAGCATTGTTCATGCACTTACAAAATTACTACTAAGAATAGTGTCAGACGTTTGCTTCATCATCATCATGGGTTGAAGTAACTTAAGAAAGCTATGCTTGTTCTCCCCTCTTGGCATTTTCCATTTTTGTCATTATTTGTTGGTGCTTGATTGATGTTAAACTAAACGTGCAGTTAGTGGTGAGGTGGCAAAAGATCTAACACTCCATTTTCATTTCATTTTTTAGTTTCAATTTCCTTGCTAATTTAAAGTTAAATTTTCTAAGATTTCTCTGCAGAAATAAGAAATTCCTTTTGCATCCTCTCTCTATCTTTCTAGAGCTTTTGCCAATAAATGATGTACTTTGTACAAGACAAAACAAATTTTGTTGGAAAATACAAAGAAAAAAGAATAACTTCATAACAATTACAATCATCTAATTATATTCTCACTCTACTAATGTAAATCAAATTAAACAATCATGATCAGTGAAACTTCTTAGAGTAACAAAAAAAAATTACAGAAACCATCATTCCCATTTGCTTCTAATGTGATGAGTATGGTTGAAATCATAGGTCAATGCCAAACTTCCATTCATTCTTCTCAACACAAACCTCTTCACTAATACATAACACCCAAATTTGTTCCACCCACCATCCCTTCCAGATTCTTCTACTCTTTTAATCCTCTTTTGTGTTTCATTCCCACCAGCCCACCTAAACCTTTCTTGTTCCCACTTCATTCTCTCAAATATTGCCATACTTAACCCAACAACTACTTCCCCTCCCACTTGGTTAAAACTCTTAAACCATATCACCCCATCAAGCATTTCCTTTCCAATGTCTTGCAAAACCTCCATCCCATCAACTCTAAATACTTCTCTTTCAACTGTGACTTCTACTGTCACAACATTATCTTCGTTATAGCCATTATCACATGCATAAATTTGTTCGCATCTTTGTTCGAGTGTCATTTCATAATACATTTAGCTAGCCATCTGATCTTTTAATCTTCCATCTTTAATAAAAATGAAAGGACAATACCATTTTCCAACAACCACATGTTCTGAACTTTTGCAAGCTAATGGGAAGTTGAATTCCGGTAGGTGGGCTCGGAGGGCAGTGTCAAGTTCGAGTGCTTCACCTAATCTGAAACTATGAGGAGTTGAGATAGATGCTCCCCAACCTTTTCTCTCTAAGAATTTTTTAGGGACCCCATCTGGGGCTACAGATTTGGCAACAAAGCCACCCCAACTTCAAGGACATATCTCAAATTGTTGATATATGTCATGATGATTTGCATATTGTGGCTCAATGTCGGGAAATCACTTGTAGAAACAGCAAGTAACAGCATCCTCCTTTGTTGAATTCGCAAATGCTTCCCTACACCCCAATTCGAACTCGTTATCAACTTAAAAAGAATATATTTGCATCGAGTATTTAGTTCAATGATTAGTATATAATCTCTATTCAATTCAAAATGCAAAGTTAAAATTTTCATTCTGAAATCTAGAACAATTTCCCCAATGCAAATTAGCTGATAGTAAACTAATAACTGCCCCCTAGTGGCCTTATGGACTCAAGAATATATCAACAAAATTGAGTGCAATTTATGAAAATATACATAGCCTTTATGGCTTCCTCGAGGCTTCAATGCATAATATTGATTAAAGGACAACGGTTGATCAAGAACAGGAATGAATGTAACAACATTACGATAAACATGTCGACGTTGGCCAGAACCGGTTAAATAGAGGAGCTTTATCTTCTTGTTTTGAGGGAAAGGAAGGCCATCTAGTTCATGACTTTTGCACAATACAAAATAATAAGTTGGTTTTGTTTCTTCATCTAGGATTACTAGAATACCGAAATTGAGACCCCCGGGTGGAGGTAATGCATGAGTTGAAGGAAACTTTTTGTACATAGAAAGAGGCCTTGTTACATACATCTCTTTATAGATTCCTAAAGGCTTATCTTTTTGCTGCGCTGATAGTTTCCTACTATGCAATCTCTTCTATGGAATCCAAATTTATAATCGTATTCTTCATACTTGTTTATAAGAGAAAAAATATGTTAAATTCAAACAAGCAACGTACAAGTAAAAGCACACTTTCTTTTGGCCAAGAACTAGTCAAAGCAAGCTTTCCTTAAAGGTTAAGTAAAGGCTCAATGGCATTTAGTATTGGTTGGAATAAGCTAGAGGTTGACAAGTATAATCGGAGATGGATGCTACCTTATCAACATGTTCTTATTAGACCTTATCAAAAATCAGTCACAAAATAAGTAAAATATAAATCTCTACAACAACAGAAAAACAAAAGTTTTCTTGCACAAATCTTTGGTCAAACCCATTGATAAGAATAATCAGTTACTTGCAAAGCTAAAACTGTATCAGAATATAAACACGACAAACCCAAAGTCTTCGTTTTTTTTTATTTGGATGGTAATATTTGTTTTTGCTGGCTGTGGGCCGTGGGACTAGCTCAAAGCAATCTAAGTGTAAGTTTTTGCCCCTCGATGGCTCCATCTGCAAAGGATCACAGTAACGTACATGGCTTGGTGCAAAAATCCTTTATCCAGACATAGGCTTGAATTAAAAAGGCCAATGACAATAAGCCACAAATTATTTGATAAGATATTGCTCTAAGCAATTCGTGCTACACTAGTACTTCAGCATCATGGCACTAGTATTAGTATACAGCTAAGACATGCATTTTCTTATTTTTCACCTTCATTTGAGATACATGTAATCCATTATATTAAAAAGTCAAGGATGGTAAGTTAGCTACTTTTCTTTCATATACTTGATTAATCAACATAACTACATCTGCATGAGAAAGTGTATGAGCAAAATTGACATGAAAAGAACACAGAATTGAAATTTGAAAGATTGGTCTTTTTCAAGTTCAACCCTGTTAGGGTTCAGTGGTTGAGTGCAAGATCTTCATTTTTCTTCCTTGGACTGGTCCAATTTGGATGGTGCTTTGAAAATCCCCTGCCACCTTTGAAACTTTTTCTACTCTTTTTGATTCCTCTTTCATGCACTGTCATCCTACATGAACTCCATTGCAGAAGGCTCCATCTCCAACCAGTGCATTATTGATGGAACCGCCAAATTTATGTGTCATAAAATCACCACCATCCCTCATGCTGCTAAATGCAAAAAAAACACCTTTCTTCACAGCGGGGACATCTCCTTTCGACTCTGATTGAAAGTTAAATTTTAAGTCATTGAAGCCTAAATCATCTCCACCAGTGAAATAACTCTCCTTGAGAGAAAACACCTGCTTGTTTGCTCCATTAAAACCACCATCAACATCCAAGAGACCACCACCACTACCACCACCAACACTTTTTCTCATACCTCTAATATCTTCAATATCATACTCCTTAAAAGTACAGTCTTTTCTTTCACAATCAAAACCACTTTTTCTTGGTTCTACTTCACTGAACCCACTTTTTCTTTCAAGATCGAAAAACAAACCACCATTGACGCCAAAACTCCCAGCAGTTGAGATTGAGCTCCTAGCACTTGAAAAGTTCACCAGTCACTTCCATCTTTGGATCTAAAAAATCCACCACCCTTGAAACTACAAATAGACCTTGACCTTGACACACCTATGTAATCAACAATCTACAAATCACTTTTCTCATCAATCCCACCAACACTCTTACCACAATGATTATCTTTGTCTCTCTTTTTCCTAAACAACCTTCAAATTCTCCAAAAGCCATTATTTTTCTTGATCTCAACGTAAGTAGTATTGCTCCTCTTGAGCAAGAAAACTTCTTCTAATTTATTTTCACTAGAAGTGCTTTTAGGCTTGGAATTTGGGTTTGCAACTTGATCCTTGTTTTCATTCTCTATCAAGAACGAGACACGACCAACGCTGCCTACCTCACCAGTGCATGAGGTTCGAGGGTTGGAGGAGTTTTCAAAGCAAGAGCAAGATGAGAAACGTTGCTCACCATAATCTGAGGAAACCAAGTTGAACAACCAATCTTTGAGACAATACGCACATACACCAACGGAATATGATTGCGGATGTTTCTTACATGGGACATTTGATGAGGTGCTGTAGTCTTGGAAAAAATCAATATTATTGTTGTTCACTTCCACAGCTTTGCCTCTCTCTCCTTCATGGCTTCTCTTCATTATGTCTTAAATGGAACTCTAAACTTGGAAAGATTGGCTTATGATCAACTAGTGGTGCTTAGACAAGACAGAAAACACATAAATCAAAAAAGGTTATAAAGATCAAATGCTTGCTTTAATAGGTATATATGAAGACTAATTAAGGAAGCAAAGGATCAAATATGGGAAGGAAAAGTGACAGTTGAAGAAAGATAGAAATATAGTAAAGTTAGAAAAGCTAAAGAACTCTCAAGATTCTTAAGTACGCAAGGTAGCTTGACACTTTAAGGTAGGTAGACAAATAATAAAAAGCATAGAGAAGGCATTACCTTTACGTTTTTTTATGGACAAAGAAAAAACAGTGATGTAAATTGCATAAGTTCCTACATGTATATATAATTGTGTAGGGAATGGGGAAGTGAATGCAAACAACAAAATTTAGTAAAGTACTGAAACCAGACCAAAGCTCAAGCTCCATCCCCAAACTTTGCAACCGCATCTGCATGCACTGTCCACATTGCCCACAGCCACTTTGATTATACCTTTTGGGATACATGCACTAGAGTTTCTTTCCTCTCTTTTGAGTCCCACCATCAAAAAGTCTTTTGAATCATAAATGGTCCAAATCCATCAATTTGTCATGTGTTTTGTCAACTTTTCTTCGGATTTTCTTCACTTTTCCTTCTTGAGTATTGAATTTTTTTTCCCATGCTAAATGCTAAATGACACACAAAAAACTCTCTTCTCCATTCTAATTGGTTATTCACCATATTTCCTTCTATTATTGGGCTAATGAAAGTTACCCATCACATTTTTCCAAACAAACAAAGAAGAAAAAATTTTAGCCACAACGAGCTATAGTGAAGCATGCATATAATTAACTAAACCACTTTCTTTTGCAACTGTGCCATGGTTCATGACACCCATCTCATGTTCATATGTGCTTTTCATCTAGATCTTGAGCACGTGTTCCACCGACTGATCCATTTTTGGATGGTCCCCGCTCATGGAGGATTGAAGGCTTAACTTCTTTGTCATTTTATTCTTAGAATTTTCTCTTGGATATGTACTGTTTGATATGCTAACCTACAATCTTGGCCATGAGAAGCATGAAACCAATTTTAAGACATGCCCTATGCAACCAAAGCCTCCAAGTCCTAAAACAAACTAGGATGAATTAATGTTAAATGTCACATTTCACATTTGTTATTACCTTATTGGTACCAGCATCAGCATGTCTCCATGGTGAGACATAATGGGGGAGGGAGACATGCTCTCACCGCATGCTAGATCCACATGCATCATTGATACAAATAAGCAATAATTGTTTCTAAGTAAAGTTTGGTTCTAACCTTATTTGTTTATTTATTGTATTTAGATATGGCAATAATTATGATTTTCCTATTGTTCTGTGTTCACTAATAATTTTGTAATTTTGTAATTGATGCAATCTAAAAGGTTTTTTGGGGATTGTAAAGGTAAAAGCTTTGCCTTTGTAAACCATTACATCTACCTCTCAAGTCTCCTTCAAACGATTTAAAATGGAGTTTTTTTTTTAAATTTAAAAATTTTAAGAAAACCCCAAAAAGATAATGATTGTTATCATATAGTTTATATTGCCTTTTAGCTTTTTTATGCCTGCCTTTGTTTCGGCGGAAGCCCGCCATTGTTAAAGGTAACCTTCCATTTGGATGTTTCACATGGAAAATGATAGTAGTAGCTTTTATGGAATTTCAAATAATCTCCAAAAAGATTTTTGAGGGAAACATTTGGGCATGTATAATTTCAATTATTGAAACTCTGTTTTTTTAGAAATGTTTATTAACAGAGGAAAAATGAGTATCAAAAGGGAAAAAAAAAGAAAGGTGAAAATGTAAAAGTGGGTGACATTTATTTGATCTGACATTATATCTCAGGAAAACACAAGAAATAATTATCTTTAACATTTATTTTATTTATGAGTTATCTTATTATGTCTATTTAAATATGGTATCGAACAATATCAGCATTAATAGAATGATTTTAGAATTACTTAACTTTCTTTTGGTATTATAAAATAGACATAATACTTTAAATTTTTTTGAATTTTTTAGAAAAAATTATATAAATTTTTATTTTTTATTACATTTAATTAAATTTCTATACTTTTGTTTTATATTAAATAAACTCTTATAACTAACGATTGATAAAATACTATTAATTTAAACATCATTTATTATTTTTATACTTATATAACATTGATGTGGAATGTGAAATATCCAATGATTATGGTACCATCTACTATAATATGTTAACATGCCACGTTAGCACCATAAAACATAAAAATGATTAGTGATATTTTAATTAATGATTATTATTTAACTATTAATTAAAGCTTTATCAATGCAAAATAAAAATATAAAAACTTAATTTATATAATAAAAAATAAAAATTTATTTAAATTTTCTTACCCTACAATGAAGCCCAGCCCAGGTTCAGCCCATTACACAGCCCCAAAAGCCCCCTATCCTCTCCCGCTCCAAATAACAGGGCTCACTGCAACTACAAACGACACTGTGTGAGGAGAGCCATGAATAACACCCTCCTCAAAATCCAACACCCACCTTTACATTTCCGAATTTCCCATAGTACCGTTTCCCGCCTCCCTCCCTCCATTCACCTCTTTCCTAAATTATCCTTCCAATCATCTTCACTTTCCTTCTCGAGGACAGCCCAATGCTTCAAATTTTCAAGCCTTTCCAAAATCAAACCATCGGTTTATTGCGACGATGAAGAAGAAACAGAAGGACCCAGAAAGGGGTCGGTGGAATTTGAAGACTTGGCACCAAACGGTGACGTTTTCAGGAAGACGCTGAGATTGGTTGAGTGTTCCATGTTTGCTGCTGTCACTGGACTTGTCTACTTCTTGAGCAATTCCCTTTCAATAGAGGTTCTTTCGTTTGGTTATCTATCTCAAATTGCGAATTGCAAAATTGGTTCTTTTGTTATATTTATTTTTCAGTTTTTTTGTCAATTTTTTAGAGTGTTTGAATTACTATATTTTGAGCACTGTTATCATTCTTCCTCTAATTAGCTTTAAAGTTTTCTTTTGTCCCAAGGCAATAGTAAAATGATTAGAATTTTGGAAGAAGATATTTCAAGTTGAAATTTAAAGCTTGCAATGGGGTTTATGAGATAGAAAAAGACCATACCTTATTGTATAGTTTAAGGTCTGATTATATTTTATATGTTAACAAAACTTGGCTTTCAGTGGTTTTTAAGCTTTGAGCTTTATAATGTTTAACTTTGTCTTGAGAGGAAGCAAAAGAAACAGAATACAAAATTTATGATGCATCATATTCATAGCTCTTGGCTTGAAGTAGCTTTACTTGGTATCACTTATGTTTTCTTTTAATTTCTTCATTTCTTTCAGATGGGTCATTTTCAGAAAGTAAAAACTCATGGCCGCACTATTAAATCTATGTATTTGGTTTTTGGTAACAGTTGTTAATATATACCATGCCATGTCTATTGCTATAAATGTTTCTAACTTGAATTCTGTTTTGCTGCAGAACTACTTTGGATGTTTCTTTTCGTTGCCAATAGTGATCTCCTCTATAAGATGGGGTGTTGCATGTGGGAGGAAACAATTGGTTTGTAACTGTTGAGTAGGCTTTATGATGTGGATGTTATTAGAAAGCTAAGTTCTTAGTTGTCTAATTATTGAGATGGTCTTTCATCTTGGCAGGTAGCGACGGTTATGTTATTATTTGTGTTGTCTGGCCCTGTAAAGGCCATAAACTATCTGGTGAGCTGAATATAATCTGATCTGAAACTATTTTGCTTGATCTAAGTTATGAATTAAGCCACTAAAATATTGCCAGTCTACACCTCAAATTCTACAGTTAGGATTCTATATGCTCTCAACTTCTTTTTCAGCTATCTAATGAACAAAAGCACATTTGTTTTTCTTGTGCTTGCTCTTTGAGTTTACAAGTTGTGATAATTTCACTTTAAGTACACAAGCCAGACGTGCTTTTTGCCATATTTCAGTCATGTTAAGTGTACATCTCATTTGCAGCTTTTAATTGAATTGACCAATAAGTAAAACAAATTTATGAAAGTATTTTTGAATTTTAAATGGTTTGGAATTAATATCTAATTAGAGTTTAGTCCAGTATGGTACCTTTCTGCTACTCTCTAATTCCAATATTTATTCTTTTTCCATGGGTGGAGGTGGAGTATATTGGTGATGTGTTCTTTTTTTTTTTTTGGCCAAAGTTGCAATTTGGTGGTGGTAGTGGAATTTTATAGTCTGCAAGTGGAATGGTGAATAGTTGGCTAAGCTTTTCCAATATTTTGCCCTTGCAGCTTACACATGGAATACTTGGTTTCACAATGGGTGCTTTATGGAGGTATTCTAGTGCTTGCCCTTATATATGTTCATTTCAGCTTTTCACATAATGAATGAATTTGAATGACATTTTATGTGGTTTTACTGTATGTGTTATAAATGCCTTTTTTTATTTAATGAAATATATTAAAAGAGAAAAGGATTTTCAGATTCTCATGCATTTAAATCAATTAATAACCGGTTTCTTCGTCTATCTGGTTTTATGTCTTCTCAGGTTGGGAGCTAATTGGAGTGTCTCAATTTGCTTGTGCACAATTGTATTGCCTTCTCCCTTATGCACATTCTTTCTCATTAGAAGCACTTATGCTGAACTGCCATGGTTAACAATCTTTTCAAATTTGCAGGCTCGATCAATGGGTGCCATGGGCTATGTCTTTACAACCTCTTTCCTAATAAGAGAAAACATACTGGCTTTGGTAGTCATTTATCCCTTTTTATTCAAACCTTTATACTTACTTCAGTACCAGAAATTCACATTCATAGTTTTTCCATATGCTTGCAGATCACCATAAACATCCATGCTTCTCTGTCGTACGTTTTTGCTGCCATTGGCATCAATGTGGTTCCATCAATGAACTTCATATATTCCTTATTTGGGATTTTGGTACATTTGACCTACCTCTATACCCTCTTAATTTCCTTTTCTGTTGGGTGCTTGAAGACTTACCGTTATTATGATAATTCAACAGGTTTTACTCAATAGTGCCTCCTTTGTGTTCTTGCTGCACCTCTTGTATTCAGTGTTCCTTACCAGAATGGGGATGAAGGCTTCATTGAGATTGCCAAGATGGTTGGAGAAGGCTATATAATGGTAACTTAAGCAGCCTGCTGTCTCTAAGTTATGTAAATTACTTGTTTTGTTAAATCTGACAGCCTTTTTCCTGCTTTCATTTTAAGTTATTCTGCTAATTCAACAGGCTTTGCTGAATATTGCCTCCTCTGTGTTCCTGCTACACCCCCTCGTATTCAGTGGTACCACCAAGTGGGCATGAAAACTTCATTGAGATTGCCAAGATGGTTGGGGAAGGCCATATATTGAATGGTAACTTAAGCAACCTGCTGCTTGTAATTTATGTAAATTACATTTTTTGCATCCTCATAACATTCATCAGTTATAGTTAGGAGATGACATTATTATTTAATTGGTATATCTTCATAGTGATTTGATCTTCTTGCGAAATGGTGAATGGAATTGTCATTTTCTGTAGCTGTGTTTTTTCTTGTTTACTTTGAGCCTAACCTCTTATGATTGACAAGTGCAAACATCTTATCCTTCAAGTAAAATGTTTGTCTCCTCTAGTACACTAGGTAGTCTTCAAAGTGGAAGGAAAAGCTGGACAATAGGTCCAGAATCAGAATCAGAAGATGAAGTGTAATAAATAGAAGAAGATGAGGGACAGTTAAGAGTTGGCCTTGGCCACTTGCAAAACGCATAAACCTGTTTGATAAAAACTTTGACGGAACATGTTCTGGGGAATGACTGTAAATAGATCCCTTCCAAGAATAAATTCTGAAACTTTACTCAGTACTGGCTAAGCTTTATACATCTTGAATTATTTCTGTTGTTTTCTCATTTGGCTTTTTCCTGCTTAGGCTTCTTGATTGACAAATGCTTTTCTTTTCTCCCATTGTCCTTTCTACCTCTTTTGTCCATAGCATTTTATTTTCATACAATGCATGTTCAACCATTTTTGGTGGGTCTGAATAATTATTAATACTAGCTTTCAACCCAAATGGTAAAACAGTGTAGGAGGATTATAATCAATTCAGACCTTTGAGTTATAATGGGGCAGATGGCCAGTTCTAGACTGAAGTGGTGAGAGTGCTGTTATTCTCTTTTAAACAAAAAAAAAATTGCAGCCTCTATGCAAAGTCAGATTAGCTTTGTGAGGCTTGAGCCCCATGATGAGGCCCAACCTAAGGCACTCACCCCACTCCATGGACAAATGCAAGAATTGTGATGTGTGCATTGATGTTAAAAAGCACTTTGATGCTAGAATTGACCTAACCCTATATTTATTTATTAATTATTTTGAGGAGTTGTCCTTCTTCCTCTTTGAAAATGCAAGAATTGCCAGTTGGGGTTGGGAGACTGGGGACATAGTCTGAAGAATGGTGCTCATTGATCTCTGTGCAAGCTTAATCTAAAGCTGAATCACTGAACCCGTAAAACAAAGATAAGATAAACAATTGACAACCTCACAACTTGCAAACCCATTCACTAAAGTAAAAAATTTGCATTGAACAAAGGGACATACGGCTTCAACCCCTCCAAAGGAAGAATCAGGAATTTATCAATGTCACTGATTCTGGGCATGAAACATAGGGAAAATTATGGTTCTTTGTTTTTGCTTTGATAATGAATAATGACTTAGCTATTAAGCACTTTTGGAAATGTCCATTTTAGTGTCAAACTTGTTCGATTGTTAACCAAGTGAGCTGCCCACCCCCATTGGCCTACCTAGGCTGGCTGCCATGGATATTTTTCTTCTTTTTTCCCTTTTTTTTTTTATATAGATGAAGAACCTGAAAGTGATTCGTTCTGTTCAAAACAAAGTCCACGACACTGTCTCCCATTTGCCTCCAGAAAAACCAGGGTAAGTAACCTGAAAGCATTGAAAATTCCAATCTCAAACCTGCTTTTTGACCCTGTTAGGGAACTCATCTCACAGTGGTTAAAGAATAAGCAAAAAGTTAAACAAAGTATATGCTTTATTGAAGTAATATAGGGCCGACAATTTACATTTTCATAACTTAATCGTGTCTCGTAAAAAAATTATTAATAGTTATACGAGTAAGAATGAATACCACACAATTTATTAATTTAAATTCATTAAATTTTATATTATATTTCTGTCATATACAAAATTATTAAATTTAAAATAATTTCTATAAAGATATTATGAGAAAGTAATTCTTTTTAATTTTATTTTTGAATTTGAAGAAAGATATTTGAACCTTCTTAAAAAGTAAAAAATTATACATAAATTAATATATTAAATATTTATTTTTTTTTAAAAAAAAATTATTATTTAGGAATATGATTCTCTTATATAAAAAAAGAAACTTTTATATTATTCCGTTTAATAAAGTGATAACGTAAAAAGTTCAATACTATATTATTCCACTAAATAAAGTACTTTGCTACTTCTCAATTAAATGATTTCCACTTTCCACGTGAACATTCCTCATTTTACAGTAAAACTTTTGCACCATAAATGGTTTTAATTAATGAAATTGATTTTCCCTATAGCCAAAAATATAAACATGAATCATTAATATATAAGGCATTGATTTGTCTTGTAAATAAAAAATTAGTTATTAATTTTTTAATATTAATTAAAAGGGTAACACTTTATTATTATTTGATTTAATGTTAAATATAATAAAAAATTCAAATTTAATTTTTTTAATTAAAATATTTTAGGAATAAAGCAACATAAATATTGAAAAAAAAAGGACAAGAAAATAAATAATTCCCTTTGATTCGCTTCTCTGTTTTTTTCCCCCCTTATTTTTCTCTTTTGACGTTTGAAGTAGTATAAAAACTGTGCTTTTACCCTCTGTTACTGCTTCGTTTGTTTTAAGGGCGGGAGAGGAAATTGTTTTGCCTTACTTGATTTGATTGACACTCCTTGGCAAGTTGCGATCTCTCTTGATCTTTGCTTCAAACAGGTATAAACAAAACTCTTTCTTTTTTTTCTTCTCCTTTCTTTGTTCTGTTTTCGTTGCCTGCTTTTAAGCTTCAGATCTGCTTCAAGTTTCATTTTATGGTCATTTTGTTCCATAATTTCAATTCAAAATCCATTTTTTGTTGCAAGATTTGGACTAACCCGTCTCTTTATATCTCGTTTCTTTTTTTTCTTTTCTTCAACTTTCTGTTAGTAAAGGAAATGAAATCTTTATGCGGTCTCTGTATCCAAAATTCTTGGAATCTTAAGAATATGGTTTTAAAAAGCAAATCGTTTTGGTCAAAAATCGACATGGGTATTTCTTTAAATTTATCTCATTGAAGTTTTCAACTGTTTCTCCTAAATTCCTCGTTGGGTTTTCGTGTTTTTCTTGTTTTGAGGCATCTATCAATACCTGATTGCTTGGATTACTGAAATCACATGGTTTTTCTGTTCAGTATTAGCAGGTCTTAGAAATTTTGTGAAAAAGGAAGAATGGGCTATATAGGGGCACATGGAGTAGCAGCTTTGCATAGATACAAATACAGTGGTGTGGATCACTCTTACCTTGCTAAATATGTATTGCAACCCTTTTGGAGCCGCTTTGTCAACTTCTTTCCTCTTTGGATGCCGTGAGTTCTTCACCTTTTCTTGCTTTGACTATCCATACTTTTATTTGATGCTTGTTTTTGTCAGCTTTTGGCGTAAAAAGTGCTTCTGTTTGTACCTGTATGATAGTTACTACTCTGTTGCATATGCAGTTGGATTGTGCTATTTGATATAGTATTAAGCTTAGAGGAAGGGAATGAAATTATCTCTGTTTTAAAGTTCAAGTTTTATCATGATCACGTGCTTCAATTGAACGTTTAAGTGTTTTCCCTTTTTGTGATATTTGCTGGCACTAACGTATATCTGTTTGTACATGTGTATGCTTCTGGCTTGGCATATTTTACAGACCAAACATGGTATGTGATGCTTACTACTCTAAATTACAATTTCAATTAACATATATACATATATATGCACCCATGGAAAATATTTTCGTATGTATGCATATTTATATGTACATGCATGCATTACTCTTCTTATTTGATTACTAATTTGTTATGCTTTTGTTTTTCAAGATAACACTTACAGGGTTTATGTTCTTGGTTACATCTGCACTGCTTGGCTATGTAAGTGGGAAACCCTCTCACTACTTAATTTCTTCGATGCCATATTTATTTTGATTTCTGAATCTTAATGGTCAAACCTTTTTTTGACTCAAGATGTTATCACTTGTCTGGAAGTTTTAGTATTATTTTCTGCAACTTCTATTTCATTAAATGTCTACAGCATCGTGGAAAAACCCTTGTGATGATCTTTAGTTTCAATTTATGTCAATCAATGAACATCTTCTAACTTTCTGACTTAAGGAGATGGGATTGTGTGTGGTCTATCTTCTATAATTTCTATTCTAGTCATTTCCTGATGATGTGGTTGGATTGGATTTTGTGTGCATTTGATTTGATTGATAAGCTCAAATTCATTTATGAAATCTGATAGTTTTTGTAATCATGGTGTTT